AGATGATTCAATTTATCTCATATTTTAAAAAAGTTTATGCATATTTTCACAAAGAGATTTAAATTCAAAATACTTCATGGCACCTCATCCCATCTCTGATCTTTTAGTGGTCCGAGTTTGCTCTGCTCCTGATAAGTATTGTTTGAACTTGAATATTGTTCGTTACCTCCATCTATTTCATTTTTTATAAAACATATGAGAAATTTGTTATTTCCTCTGGAGGAGTACTTTTATATGTCGCCCGCGTGGCGCAGCGGTTAGAGAGTCTGCTCAAGAGTCGCGAAGTAAGGAGTCGATCCTTACGTCGCGGGTTCGAATCCCACTGTAAGACGTGGAAACAGGTCCTTCGGATGAGACCGGATAAACCAAGGTCCCGTGTCGCAATAGGTGGCCCTGAGTGCATAGTATAGGATTAAATTTGTAGCTCTCCCCCGGCAAGTGGTGACGTCTCCATATGAGTGAACAATTCCCGAGAGGTGTTGGTACAATAATATCTAACTCTTTATGTCGCAAAAAAATTGGCGGTTTCGCGATGTCATATTTGCTTGAAATTAAAAATAAAATCATTTATGTTATCTAAAGTAATGAATAATTCTTAAAATTTTCTTTTAGATAATTTAAAATTATTTTACCTTTGATGAGGTGTTACTGAGTATTGGTCATTTACGGCGAAATTCCCGTGTCCGACGTTACATCAATTATTGTTCGCGCAACTAAAAGGTATGAAAAAAATGCACTTATAATTCTCTGAATTAAATGAAATTTAGGGGGTACAATAAATATATGCATTCTTTAAGATATTGTTGAGTTTTTAATATCATTTTATCAATTTCATGAATTTACACTGGATCTACAGTGCGTAAGTAAAATGTCTAACAGTAAGAAATCGTTTCCTTACTCTAACATTAGCCGAAATGGAGATGTGTACCAGACATAAATCCCAGACAAATACAAGAAAGATATATTGACGCAAGCGTCAAAAATCGGCCGCAAACCAATTGGTCTTTCAACGAAGCAATTAGAAACTTGAATGCTTGATCTGTTATTAAAATATCTTATATTTACTTGTTAATTAATATATCCCTGTGACATTGAACATTTGCATTCAACTTTACAGGATTTTCTTCAATACATAATACATACTACTCATAGTCCTCTGCGTCTCCGTGCACAGTTCGTTACAAACCAAGTCTGTCGGAAGTTTGATGTTTCTAAAGTTACTGTAGTTTTTACATTTAAAGATTAAAAGCTTAAAGTTTAAACAATTTTTCAAAACCACACTCCTACAATTTTACATTTCAGTATAACTTGGCACACAATAAAAACTAAGCAAAATAGTGCATCCGTTTTTGATTTCGATGAACGATGTTGCCATGGTTACTAAAAATAGAATTTTCTGTGAAATTCCTTTAAAGCGCTACTCCTTCTACAGTTTTGGTCTGATTTCAATATAACTTGGCACACAAGTAGACTACACTAAGATACATAGAATAGTACATCGATTTTTTATTTCGATACATTTGTTACTAAAAATAGAATTTTCTGTGAAATGTTTAAAACGCTACTCCTTCTACAGTTTTGGTCTGATTTCAAAACTTGGCACACAAGTAGACTACACTAAGATACATAAAATAGTGCATCGGTTTTTGATTTCGATGAACGGTGTTGCCATGGTTACTAAAAATAGAATTTTCTGTGAAATTCCTTTAAAACGCTATTCCTTCTACAGTTTTTGTCTGATTTCAATATAACTTGTCACACAATCATTACACTAAGAAATTTTCTTTTTTATTTCGATGAAATGTATATATAGAATTTTCTGTGAAATTTTAAATATATTCAACAGTTTTGGTCTGTTTCAATAACTTGGCACACAAAAGTAAAATTGATACATAAAATATACTTTTTGATTTCGATGAACGGTGTTGCCATGGTTACTAAAAATAGAATTTTCTGTGAAATTCTTTAAAACGCTATCCTTCTACAGTTTTTGTCTGATTTCAATATAACTTGGCAGACGGTTATGTCAGAGTTTGTCATCAGTTTTTGATTTCGATGAAACCATTTACTTAAAAAAATTTTAATTTTTGATTATTTTTGTCTGATTTTGTTAACTTGGCACACATTTAAACACCCTGTTTAATATTCTTTTATATGAAAAGGTGCTGCCATGGTTACTAAAAATATTTTTAAATTCCTTAATTGTTTTAACAGTTTTGGTCTGATTTCAATATAACTTGGCAGACAAGTAGACTACAAACTTTCATAGAATAGTGCATGTTTTTGATTTCAGACTGAACTGTGTATTGCTATGGTTACTCAAAATAGAATTTTCTGTGGAATTCCTTAAAAACGCTACTCCTTTGTTTTTGTCTGATTTCAAGATAAGTTGCACACAAGTAGACTACACAAAGATACATAAAATATGCAATGGTTTTTGATAAGTACAAACCAGTAGAGCTACATTACTTCTGGTTACATTTAAAGATTAAAACTTTTAAACTTATCTTTTTTTTGCTTTAATAAAAACGCAACAAATTTTTTTTTCTCAATTTACCTTCTCTATCTATCATTTTTATTTGTGTGAATGTGTGTTTATTGTAAAACGTGTTTTGGATCAAAATCTCTATATTCTGGATAATAAATTGTCATTCAATCATTTGGAAATTTTCTTTCGGAAATGTATATATACACGGCATTTTAAATATATTCAACAAATCCTGTTTAAATAGAGAAAGTAAAATTGTTTATACTTTTATACTGTATAACGCTTCTTTGCTTTATATAGAATTTATGTCAGAGTTTGTCAATGTTATCATTTTATAAAAATTTTAATTTTTGATTATTGTGCGTATTTTGTTTAACATTTAAACACCCTGTTTAATATTCTATTATATGAATGTTCAATATTTTTATTTTAATTGTTTTAACATAATAATAATAATATAACCGACCGCCTCCTGGCGGCCGGTAATTAATTTTGGTGAATAATCTTTTAGTACATATATTTCTTAGATTAATTGAATTGATACACTTTATATTACTTTTCCAACGTAAATATTAGGAAGGCTTTCTTAAGTGTAGCCATTTTGTTATGCACGCTCGAGTCACTGTATTGTTACTAAATATGTCTCAGTAACATATCAAAAATATATAAATTAATGTAAGATATAAAGCAATCATGTATGTAGCTTGAAAGAACATTAAATGCTGCATTTACTAATTACACAATCTTACATGAAATGAATGCAAGCATCAATAAAAGTGTAGCCATTTTGTCACAGGTACGAAAAACGTCATTTTACGCAATGCGTACATATGACGTCGGGAGCGTCAAATTATTATCGCCGTGGCTTTCCGTAGTACCAGCTCACAGGTACTTGTGGACAAGCAGGAACCGCCCCCCTACCCCAACCCCAATATTCAACCCCGGAGCTTGTTGGAGATTTTTTCACAAATAATATTTATTACACTTAATCAGCCCGCGTGGCGCAGTGGTTAGAGCGTCTGCTCTAGAGTCGCGAAGTAAGGAGTCAATCCTTACGTCGCGGGTTCGAATCCCACTGTGGGACATGGAGGCTGGTCCTTCGGATGAGACCGTATAAACCGAGGTCCAGTGTCGCAGTAGGTGCTGGCACGAAAAAGACCCCTCACTGCTCAATGGCCCTAAGTGCCGAGTATAGGACAAAATTTGCAGCTCTCCATATGAGTGAAAAATTCTCGAGAGGAACGTTAAACAATATACAATCAATCAATCAATCAATCATGTGTACATCCCAAAATAATATCGTTCCACAAAAAATACCCTACTAAACAACGTATGCATTATAAGAGCCCCCCCCCTTCTTTCACCAAAAATAGTAAAAAGATTGTAGAATTTTCGTGATAAACCAGATTTTTAATAATGGTGAAACGTCTCCACCCCTCCTTTTTTCCATCCCCTCAATATACTAAATTGATACTTATTTTTTTAAAATTCAAAATGACACCAGTTCCATTGAAACGTAGGAAATATAAAAATTGTAACTCTCATTTTTTCTCTATTCACCCAAAGCGCATGCGGACGCTATATAGAAATAAAAGATTTGTAATGAACTAACTGAAAAAAATATTGAAGGATGTTGAAAGGGAAAACTACTTATATTTTTTCTCCTTATAAGACAGACAAGTGAGAAAAATAGAAAGAGGAATATTCAATGAGTGCCTTTGGCATTTCAGTAATTAAAATTTTATTATTAAGATTTATTAATAAACATCTAAATATTTCAAAAAAGGAGGTTTAAACATTGAACATTATGTGCCCTTTTATTTTATTTTTTTTATACTTTTGAAAAATAAAATTCATTTAAAGATCTAAAATATGCATGTATAAGGTTCAAAACGTTATATCAACGTTATGACTTTTTAACGTTGTTTTGACGTAACGTCAATGTGTACCAACACCGTGCGCAACGTCTAAACAACATACAATCAATCAAAATGCTACCATTTTAAAAATATTGGAAAATTCATTTATTAGGTACAAAATATGGTCGGAATGCATTGAATACCTTAAAGTTTTTTCGATAAATTATTTTTCGCTTATTAAAATTAAATGAATCCTAATGTAGCGTTTTGAATATATCCAACAATGATATTTTGTAAACCACTTTTTTTCAAAAATAAATATTAAACAAGGATGAAAGGACGTGATTATGTCATTTTACTGTATTCCCACTTCAAACAAATTTTATTTTGTATAACAGAATCAACAATACCAAAGTTCAATTCATTAGTCATTTTAAGCCATAATTTGTAAAATAAAAAAAGTTGTTACACTCTTAGCATATTTTTACTAAATGAAAATTGTGGTCATCTCAAGACAAAATTAAGTCCAAGAAATCTTATTTGCAGATTATGAACATGCTTTTCCAATGCTTTTACGAGAAAAATGTTTTTTTTAAAAATAAATAAAAAGAAATTTTGAGCTGATTAGTCTAAATATTTGTGATTTCAGAATAAACAGTAATGGCTTCCATGTCCATATCAACAATAGCTGAAGAGTTTCTGACATGTTCTATCTGCTTTGAAGTCTACACTGATCCGAAAACACTTCCATGCCTGCATTCATTTTGTAAAGGTTGCATCAATACTTTCACGAAGAAAATACCAAATAAAAAAGAATATTCCTGCCCTGTGTGTAGAGAAGCATTTATACTTTCTAATAATGATATAGAAAATTTAAAGACAAATTTCTGTTTGAAAAATCTTACTGAACTATTCAGTTCTAGCATAGAAGTCAAGAAACTATGTTCGTTCTGTAGCTTAAAAGGTGAAAACATTGAGGCATCCTCACAGTGTCTTACCTGTAAAGATTTGCTTTGCTCTGAATGTGCAGAGCATCGACATAGATCTACAACACTAACATTAAACCATAAAATTGTTTCCCTGTCAGAATTGTCCTCTGGAAAATATAATGAGGAAATTCGTTCCAAACAGCAGATTCCTTGTTCTGAACATACTGGCGAGGACCTGAGATACTTCTGCGAAACATGTGATGTTCCAGTTTGTCGGGATTGTATCGTTCTCGGCCATCAGAACCATAAATATGTTGCCCCATCAGATGCAAGAAAAAGCATGGAAGAAAAGATGAATACGGATATGAGCTCACTGAAAGAAAATTTAGAAAGATTTCAGACTGCCAGAGAAAATGTAGCATCTGCTTCAGGTATTTTGGAAGTCAAAAAGCAAGATCTGAAAGCAGATTTGGAAAAGCAAATGAATACCATTATCAAAAACATGATGGACTCAAAAAAGTCAGTCGAAAATGACTTTGATCAGATTGTGAAATCAAAGCAAGACACATTACAAAAACAAGAGGAATCAATTGAAAAGGAAAGAAAACTACTAGAAGAGACATACTTGTTTTGCAATAACCTTCTCAAACGTGGAAGTGATATTGAAATTCTTTCTATGAAATCAGAAATAAAAGATCGCCTCTCAACATTACAGTCTTTGAAAAGAATAGAATGTTGCAATGTTGAAGACATTGTATTACCTGTCGTAGAAACAAGTACTGATGGACATATATTTAAGTTAGTAGATCAAAAACCAGGAGAAAGTAAGAAAAGTTCAAATCAGGAAGTCGTGGAAAAGGAACGAACAAAACAAGATGCAAATAAGACCAAAAATGAAACAAAGCTTACTGAAAGCAACGACATGACAAATGATTTACATCCCAAATTACTGCAAACGTTTTCGGAACGACAGTATAACGATGTTCAAAAGCCCAAATACACGGGCGTTACATGGATGAATCGACATTCGTTAGCGGTTGTCGATGTGAGAAATCAAAAGATTAGAATTCTCTCAACGCAAAACAATGATGACAGCTTTATACCTGTGAAAGACTGTATGGTTGTAACGTCTTTCAAGGATGGAATAGCGTGTAAAACAATAGGAGAGAAATTGCACATAATTAACAAATCCTTTGACATCAAGCAAACTTTTTCAGGAGTTTTAACATTACTGACTAACCATCCAAATTCATCACAAGTAAGTTGGATCTCCGGTTTAAACAGAATATGCGTTTTACAAAATTCCAAGATTAAAGAAGTCATCATTGATCCAAACAAAGCAGGGAAGCTAAGTAGTCCCAAATTTGGTCACGTTCTTCTGAATGGAATGTTTGTGGTTTCAGATTGGAACCAGGATTGCGTATTTATCATCAGGGGCTCTGGGTATGTAGAGAGAAGAAAGTATTGCGCTCCAGGTTCCATCTCCTCGGACCATAACAACATTATTTATGCATGTGATTATAGAAAGAGTTGTATTGAGATATTCAGGTGGTCTGGCGAAAGTCTATGGACAGTTAAAATTGGTTCAATCATACAGAACCCCAAAAGCATTGCCTTGAACAAGGACAACAAAATATTGATCACAAACGGAACATCTATCGTGTTGATTCAACTGGAATAAACTGCGAAAAAGACTTAGCTTGATTTAAATGAAGGCGAAATTTCATCAGAACTTTATTGATTTTTGTTCAGTAGAGAAGATAGTGCTGTTAATATTCTTTTTATTATATCATTATAAAAATTGTTTATTGCTAAAAATTGAAAATAAAGAATCTTCAGTATTCTCTCGAAATATATGGCAAATGATTGCTTACCTTGCCTTAATTGACATTCTTTTATCAGGTAAATAATTATAAAATTATTATCTGGAGGAAGCCGAGTGATTAACCTTGAAAATTCAATCCATTACATCCCAAAAATTATCCATCACAAGAAACAGAAGACAAGAAAGAACATGAGCTTTACTTGACTTAATATCTACGACTATATCTTTGATCATATAAAACCATTATCCTCTTCAGTGTACAATGAAACTTTTGCAATTTTAGCTATCTGTTTCGTAACAATTCAAACGAAAAAAGGATGAATATTGAAAAAAAAAATGACACAGAAAGACAACAGAAAGTATTCATTACATATCTCACATAAAGGACATACATGTGTTTAAAACAATTTACTTAAAATTTGCCAAATTATTGCCAAAATTATACACTAGTAAAGCAGCTTAATTTGTTAATGATGTTCGAAAGAGACTACGATATATAAACAACAGTGATCCAAGGACCGCATGTGTCGCCTACTATTGGTTTCATAAAAGATATATGATCAGTTGTTTATATGCTACTAGCATTTACTTCGTGAAAAAGAAAATCCCGATGAAGGATATTAAGATTCCGATGGAATCTGGCCATCAAATAGAAATACAAATCCCCAACCCCAAAGGTGAAATGGATACCGGGTATTAATATAAAAGTTTAAATTATTTAAATAGCTTAGTCAATAAAACAATTAATAATACGTGATTTGAATTTTTAAACAATCCTTCGAAAGATATTTCAGTCTGTTTTTACCTTATTGTTAGATCACACCCATCTATATATATCCCGATGTATTTTCGTATTTCTTAATTTTCAGTTTTTGTGATTACTATAACTCATACACTGTTAAAGTACATTGTCATGAGCTCATAAATGTATACAGGGTAAGTAAATGCTAATTAGACGGTCAGATAGACACTGGGTAAAGTGATTCCTAAGTGCCATTCTGCTCCGCAGACGACACAAAAATGAGAAAATATCCCGAGCGTGTTAGCACAGATCCCAAGTCACCGGATTATAAGTAAATAAGTGCCAATATTATAAAATGTAATCTTTCTGTGGGATCCAAGCGAAGGTTACACCCCCTTGTACACTGAGTTAGTGTATCCATTGAAAACTATGTATAAATTAAATTGGTATCTTGACCTATTAAACTAGAAAGAAATACCATTGTTGTCAATCAGATTCGAACATTTTAAATTAGGATCGTGGGAATGGGGGAGTGTTACAGAAGGGATCTGATGACCCCTTCCCCTTACAGACTGTAAATGGTTTGTTGTGCTCTCCAAAATTGAAATTTCTTCCTACGGACCTAAATTTATCTTATTTATGCTACAGACACCTGTTGCGATGCTTTTACATTTTTTGTTCTTTGTAGGGGCACTACATGCCGTTAAGGAAGGTGAAAACATTATTTTGGGTTCATTATTTATCATAAGTAACACTTAGATCTAAACTTGTAGACCAGTTCTTGGAAAAGTCTTCATTTTGATTTGCGTTGAAAAAAAACTGCTCAAAGAAGAAGGTATGGTTTCCATACAAATTTTGCCCTGTGATTTTCTTAAAAATGAAACTGGTGTAAAAGTTGAAAATAAGCAAAATAATTGAAATTGAACACATGTGTTTTTAAATGCAATTATGACGTCATAAACATGTGTATTCTCCCGTATTTTCTTAAAAAGTTGCAATTTTTTTTTTAAAGACACCAATTTTCAATGGAATTTTCTTTCAGATAATACATGGTCATTCACAGCCGTCGCCCACAAAGATCTTGAGATTTGATTTGTTATAATTTTGCACAAAATATCAAAAAATTAACGTGGGCGACGGCTATGTTTATCACCCTTGAAATGTGGCATTTTGAGGCTTTTTCAAAAATAGTTTCATTTTTGCAAAATGGTAAACTTTCATTTTTTTTCCTTAATCAGAGTTTTATTTACCTAATATTTAAGTTTCAAAACTTTTTGATGTCAGGGTTAAAAATTATGTATAAATTCTTCTTCAAGTCGAAACAAAATTTCTACAAATTGCTTCAGTTTAATATTTTAACAGATATTTTATTAATACATTGGTCAGTTTCATTTTTGCTATTTTAACGTTGTGAAGGGTTGTCAAAGAATCACCCTACAATTATATAATTATCATTTTAGCGGCCTGTCGAAATACGATACTTTCCCAACAGTCACGTGACACTAGTCGATTAAAGTCAAACGAATTGCATTCATTATCGATTTTTGTGCATTACCTGACTTGAGTTCTGCCACGTATATGCATCTAGGCATACTAGACTTTTCACGGCATTGCCAACAGGTAAGTTTTTGAAACGTTGCGTTTTCATTCATGTTTCGTTTGGTATTTCATAACGAATTGAATTAATTTTGAACATGTGAATATTTTTGCCACACGGAGTGGTAAGTTACTGAAGGGTAGTTCCATTTGATATTTATATGAATGTGAGAAAGTGTACAACATCCGTTTTCCTTCAATGCAAATATTTATTTCCTTGAATTATTCATTGAAAAAAATAAATAAAAAATAATAAATCTGGATGGTCACAAAATCATTACTGTATACAGGGAAATTTTCGCCCCCGTTTTATTTTCACTCTTTTCGCCCTCTTCCTGATTGGACGAATTTAAAACGGTGCGAATTCAAATTACACAGCATAATATCTTAAACAAAAGTATGACTGGGCGAATTTAAAACGGGGTAAAATTGTTCGCAAGTGCAAAAGGGCGAAAATAACATGGGACGAAAAAATAACCCTGTATACAGTATTACTTTGAAAACCTGTGTTGGTGTCAGTTAATTAAGTAAAGTATGAATGTTTGATCTGCATTGAATTAGACCATATATTTTATCAGTAAAATATTTTCTTGTTGTCAAATATTTTTCTGTTGTCAACGTTGATACGTCGAGTTTGATTAACCAAATTAAATTTTTAAATATTATTTTTTCCTCTCACTTTCAGTGGAAATGGATTCGTTGAGTAAATGTTTGAAAGAAGATTTTCTGACGTGTGCAATATGCTACGAGCTGTTTAGGGAACCAAAGACTTTGTCTTGTTTACACAATTTTTGTGAATCGTGTTTGGAAACCCTTGTTCAGAAATCTTCGGAAAAAGACCATTTAAGTTGTCCAATATGCCGGGAATGTACGCCTCTACCATCGCAAACGGTCTCTAGTTTGAAAACAAACTTTATTTTTAAGGAAATGGTTGCTAAGATACCCCGGTCTAGAGGCCCGACTTCTTCAAGAAAATGTTCTTTTTGCATTCTTCATTCGAAAGAAGTAGAGGCAACTCACAAATGTGTAACATGCATGGATTTGCTTTGTAGTTTTTGCACAAGACACAGACATGTATTTACTAGACAGAACGCATTTCATAAGGTAGTCCCCTTGAAAGATTATTTGGCGGGAATGTATAAAGAAGAAACCAAGTACGAGATTCCCTGTGAGAAACACCACGAAAGATTGCGCTTCCTTTGTCGGCGATGCTCAGTTCCTATATGTAGAGAATGCGCTGTTTTAGAACACAGGTCCCATGATTATGCATCCTTTGAAGAGGCAAGGGACTTCGTAAAAAGGGAAGTCGAAAAGAACTTGAAGGCTAGTAAAACAAAGAAAGAGAAACTCCAAATCATACACTCATCACTGATTTCTCAGGCAGAAGAAATATCGGCTAAAGAATCTTCTCTGCTTGATATGATCGATTTCACTTATAAAGAAATTGAATCTAAGTTGAAGCTTCATCGACAAAGAATTGAACAGGAAATTAGAGGAAAGTCAAACGAAGGAAAGAAAAATATTGATATTCATATTCAAGAGAACTTGAACTCTCAAGACCGAATAAAGGAATCAATCTCATTTTGCGAAAACATGTTGTCTAGAGGGAGTGATTTAGAGGTTGTTTTCTTTTTGGAAGAAATGAAATCATGTTTATTGAAACATCCAGATCCAAAAGAAGTCCAACTGCAAATTACTTTTCCAACTTTGAAAATCAACATGATGAAAGAATTCAATGTTTTTCAATTAACAGATGCTGCTTCTGATAATGATTCCTCAGCTAAAGCAATGGAAGATACAGAAACGTCAACAAGGATAAACAACAAAGACCAAGAATCCAATGAAGAATATTTAGAGAAACCTTCTAACGATACTGAATTAAGTCACAAAAAAAGAAACAAAAAATCAGAAGAAACAAAGATGGAAACGTCACAGGACACAACGACAAATGGAGCTTGTTCAAAAAGCGCAAGAAAACCAACTCAGAAAGTTAACAAGGAATCGAGCAAGAGTCTAGTAAATACTAATTCAGAAAAAGCGTGTTCAGTAAAACCAGTTAAGGTTCAGAAGGCGAAGTCGCCAGATCAATCGATGAAATATGAAGTTGCTAAGTGTTTGAAAACTTACGAGCAATTAGACAGACACGGTGATAAAACTCCAAGTTACACTTGCATTACATGGATTGACAAAGCAACTTTTGCTCTTGTAGACGAGTTCAATCAGATAGCTCTCATTGTTTCATCCAAAGGGGAAACCGAATATATTCAAAAGCATTTGATTAAAGGTATAAAAGGTATAACAAAGTTTGGAAATTTTCTTGCTTGTAAAACTTATGTTGGTGAAGTAAGAATTTATTCCTTTCCGGAACTAAAGTTGGAGAGAGTTTTTAACGGGGCCTTTGCGATATCATCACGCTCTGCTGAGTTGGTGTGGGTCACAAAAGCAAAGATTGTTGCATTCAAAAACTCAGCCCTTGAGGAGATGTATTTTAAAGACGAAAACGGGAGACAACTCAAATTACAAATGCCTCTATATGTGTGCTGTTCTTCCAATAAATCATTTACTATCTCAGATAATGAGGCTAACTGTCTGTATTTTTTCGACAAAAAGGCTCACAAACAACATGTTATTTCTGGAAGATTCGGTGCCCTTTCGTGCGATAAAGAAAATCGTGTTTACATGACCAATTATGACACTGACTGCATCTTCATCTTCGATTCAAATGGAGAGTGGTTGAAGACGATTTCTTTAAACTGCATTATGAGAAAACCCAGGAGTATATCTGTGCTTGGAGAGGAAAAAATTCTGGTTTCCAATAGGGAGAATGTAGCTCTTATTTCGCTTAAAGGATGAGTTTACAAATAATGATAATTGCTTCAATCTAGAATGGGAGGTCAATTTGGTATCCAGTGAATCGGTTACTCGGTCGAAACTATGTTTTTCGGTTGTAAATTAACTTTTTATAATTAGTCGTTTTATCGTGGGAAAAAAATATATACAGTATAATATTTGAACCTTGTATTGACTTTTGCTCAGTACAAGGACATAGAACTGAAGCTTATTAAAGTTTTTGTTTAAATTACAATTTATTTATAAAATTCCAGGATTTTGTCAAATATTTATTGTATACCTTGTTTACTTAAATCTGACTTGTTTGTTCCATAGGTAAATGAACATTATGTATTGTACATCATAAAATATGCTTTACGGCACTTGTCAAGAGCCACTCCGCACTCCTCGGAGCGACGCTCTAAGAGAGGGTTCACTATACGATCAGCATCTGTACTATCTATCACTTAAAATTAGAAAAAGACTATTTTTATTACTTAAAAAAAAAATCAAGTTATCATGTTTTTACTATAAAATAAAGAACTAATCATTTATGTTTCTATATAATTAACTTTTGTAAAACTATTTTTAAACATATTGGCTTTTGCACTACACTAGAAATAAAGAACAAAATAATTTGATGATTTATTTTTCAATGTATATCATAGTATCCCTGTACTTTGTAAAACTATTGCATATTATACTAGATATAAGATCTTTTTTCAAAGTAAATGGGACAAGGCTATCATATGTGGCACGTTTAATAGTAGTCATGATTATAACAAGAAATTTTTATTGTGTTTACACATTTGAATAAGGAATATCCTCGCCAAAATTTTGAATAAACACAGATTGGCTTGTAATTGATTTAGTAACCTGCCTATAAACAGTCCTTTTAGGAAGTATAACGGGATATTGCACAAGTTCACCTGGATGCTATCTCCCAGAACCTATTGTTTGACCTACATAGTGAAAGATCATTGAGAATCCAGGGCCAGTAAGAGACGGACACAGATCACCGCCAAAACACCAAACACCACTATTCATACACTATTTACGTGCAACACTGCACGGTGCTCCGCAATAACGGAGGAATATACAAGAGATACAGATATGGCGTGATCGGAAGGTCATGGGAACAGACCCCACCCACGACTGACCTAAGTCGATGAAATATAGGTAAAATGTAGGAAGCAAATGTTACTTCGATAAGCACTCGGCACTTTCAAGTTATGAGGCCTTCAGAAGATACCTCAAAAACTGAGGCACGATAAAGTTCCCTCACTGCTCAACGGTCTGAGTGTCGAGTCAAGGTATAAATTTGAAGACATTCACTTTTACATGGTGACATTTCTATATAAAACAGTACGATATTTAACTCTGGACATGACATTGTTCAAACGTTTTACTGCTATATCTAATTGTTATGTCCCAATAATACTGATAGCTCTTGGTGGAATTTCGTAGCAGTATAACAGTTTGTCATGTTGCCTCAATGATGTATTTGCTGACAAACATTCATTTTTTAAAAAAGAACTTAGAATCCCAAAAATTTTTTTTTCATCCTAAATCCTACTATTATGGGAGAAAAATTTCAGATGGGATATTTTCTACTGCTTGGATTTTCTCTCTCCCAGAAATTTGTTCAAATGGGATAAATCCCACGGGTAATGACAATCAGACATTATCTCCCATAAATTGTGAAACGTGGGATGTATGTAATAAATTAATGATGTGTCACTCATTATAACCTAAATATATATTAAAATTAATTTTTTTTTAAAAATGAAATGTCAATTTCCATGTAGGATTTTTATCCCATTTCAATTTTGTGTGACAAAAATCCTTATGAGAGAAAATATCCTACCTGACATTTTTTCTCCCGAGGGAGAATGGTTGAATAGTTGTTAGGACTAAAAAGCCTACCAACATTAACGTTAAGGCATACTTTTAAAAAAGAGATATTTAAAGAAATGGGATTACTTTCTAAGCGGATCAACATAAGACATTACAACTGGAAATGGTTGTAAAAAGTCTGGAAATGTCACCGGAGTGCTTTGTTAAAAAATATTCTTGGGTGGAAACAATTATAATTTAAGGAAACGAAAACAGATTTAAATGATTTTTATATGTGATTTATATGTAATTTCATAAACATTTAACCAAACGAAATATTCTTTTGTTTATGTACTAAAGGCCAATCTCCCATGCAGAGTTGTCGTTCGTTCCTTTCTCAGACACCTCTGCAATGAGCTCACGTCAAGATTTTTGACATAACGTATAAAACGTGAAGTTTGCAGAATTGTTTCAATTAAATTAATAGTTCTAGATTGATTTAGTAAATATCTGTCTCAAAACTCAGACATAAGCATAGAAATTGAATTATATTGAATTAAAACAAACGCACTATTTTTCGAGTCTATCACTGTAACATATATGCGAGCCAATGACAGAGGTTAATGTATGAGCCGATGGTAAAGAGTGACTAAAGGTATAATTTTAAATCTTTCCTTGATTTTGAGTTTAATGTATCCTTTATGACATACATTGTGATAGAAATACAATCCAGACATTTTGACACAAATAAGGGACAAGCTGAATAAAGTTTTATAAATCATTTTATTGGTGAGATATTAGAATCAATGGAATATTTGTTTACATTGAAGTTGCTCTTCCATATATTGTGTAACTGCAAATTTTACATTTACAGAAACATAATAAAAGCATTTTTTTGCAATAGATATGATAATATGAGAATTATCGTGGTGTTTAAACGAGAATTACAAAAATACATGAATGACAAATGGTTTTTTTTTATTTCAGTATTTTTCATTAAAGAAAAATATTCTGTTTTATAAACTACTATGTCTAGATCTCACAAGTACGTACAGCGTGATTTAAATGTTGATACTTTTGCAGTAACATAAGCAAATGTTTACATTTGCTGTGTTTTTCTAATAAGCCAACTGAAATTGATTTGAAAACCATTATTCACGCGTAGAAATATACACAGAGAAACGTAAAAATGCAACGATATAAATGCATTATTGATATATATCCTTTTTCAATATATAAAATGTAAATATAAGTAATGTTTTTAAGTTTAGTTTTTATTATTTTCACACAGAAAAAAGGAATTATTTTTTTCATGAAGCGCTAGTGTGTTTAAATGTTGATACTTTTGTGTGATTCACACACACCAATAACTCACACAAAACTACATACGTTCCTTAAATGTTGAAAATTATACATTTACAAAACAAAATTGAAGTATAGAATTTCCTTTTAAAGAGGTGAAATATGAGAATTATCCTGGTGTTTGAACGAGAAGTACTAGTATAACAAAAATATGACAAAAACATTATTTTTATCGAAGTTTTTTTTTCATTTTCTAAGCGTACAGTGTGATTCAAATGTTGATATTAGATGAAATATTCTTAAATTTGGAAAATCATTGATGTGACATAGTCTAAAATTATATTTGCTAAATTTACTATTTTTTAGCATTTGATGAAAATTGATAATTGATGTATCAAAAAATTACCTGAAATCATCTCACAATGAAAAAGCACTATTTTTTAAGCCAAAACTATTTTAAAGTTATAAACACTGTATGGATTAATTGTACTCTGGAACTGATCTGGAAATGAACTGAAATCACACATATGTTTGTCTTTATCCAAGGGGAATCAGTCAGAGGGTAGTTTTTTATTTCTCAATTTCTATATCACACATCTCGTAATCCAGTTCCTTGTGATATTGTTAGTGAAGATCAAAGTCATATCTTATCAATATTCTAATGCATGCGAATGTGTGTTGATATTTACAGTGTTAACTTATGGGAATAAGACCAATACTCATTAATATATCTGTTGCATGGTTATTGAATTTGCTGTACGTCCTCTGGTCCTTTGAGCAGAGGAAATAGTTGTCACAAAGAAAGACATAAGCTTTCCATTATAATTTGCCCTCGTTTTTGCTAAAATCAAAACAAAACTTTTCCCACTGTAAATACAATGTTTGAATGGGGGTCATCAAATTATATAATGGTAACAATGACTAACATAAGACAATACTCATAATTTAATATTGTTACAAAACATTTTAGTGTCAAGAATGACGATCTATTTCCTGAAACTCTCTTAAAAGGATACCAAAGCATACAAACCTGTTCGAAACCAAAAGGTATCTTTACACTATGTTTGCAACTAAAATCACAAGTTTTCTTCATATACTATAAACAATGAATCAACCAAAACATGAACTTATCATAAAACGGTAGAAAAAGAAATTTAACATGTGTCTAGGACATCCATGGTAATAACAAAGGAGACTTCTCATGATCAAACAACATGGTAGACTAAAAGGTAAACAGAGGCAGAATTAAAAAAAATCTTTAAAACAAATTCCTTTACAATCCATATAAAAATCAAATTACAATTTTATGAGTATCAAAAGCAATGACTTTAGACAAAAAAATAATTTCTATCATTTATGAATTCACTTCTTCAGCAGATTTTCATAGTGTTCTGACACTTACCACTTTAATATCTGAGAGAACCTGAGTTCAACATTCAGTCAGTTTTATTAAGAGTATTATATACATGTATCTATCAGCCCGTTGCACACTTTATATATAACATTGTACAATACCTCTTTTCCTACCATTATTGTAATATTCTTGTAAATTATTTACCCTTCTAATTTCAGTTCATCGAGAATGATAGACTGGCCATTTGAAATTAGCATCTTATTGTCTCTTCTTAAGGCAATACTTCTAGGATGAGGGATTGGTGAGATATATGTTCCTAATGTCACACCAGCAGTTGTGAACATCTCAATGCAGCTATTTTCATAGTCACAAACGTAAATGTTATTGTCAAGATCAGAAGTAATAAAGCCAGGGCTACAGTATTTTCTTCTTACTATATATCCTGTCTTACTTATAATGAATACGCAACCGTTTTCCCAATCTGATATAATGTAAGTTCTATTTTGTAAAACATGACCAAAGATTGGATTGCCTATTTTCACTGGTCTACCTCTGTCATTGATTGTTAATTCTTGAACCTCTCCCTTTTCATACACACAAATTTTATCTGCATCAGAAATCCAACTTAATTGTGACGACGTTGGATGACAAGTAATGAGTGTACTAATTTGCTGAAATTCTCTTTCCAGCTACAAATCTTTATTCATTATTAATAACTTGCCGCCCTCGGTTTTGCACGCAACTCCATCTTGAAAACCACAAACCACCGTGCAACCAAGTAAAGCGATAGACTGGATATGTTTTGTTTGTATATTAATTACTTTCAGCTTTTGGGTTTTTTTGATCTGCAACTATAATGTTCTCTTTGTCCATCCATGAGACGCCGGTGTAATATGGAGCAAAGTTATCTCCCTTTTCTTTGCACTCTATCAAAGGTTGGGATCTTATATCGCTTTTGTGGGACCCTATCTTGTTTATCATTGTTATCACTGACTTTCTGTTTTGAATTCAACCTGGTTAAACCTGAAGTTATTTCGCTTTCTTTACTGTTATGAAATACTAATCGAAATACTTTGCCATCCGTATTGATTTCAAGGGTTGGAATCTCAATTTCATTGACTGCACAACAATCCTCATTTTTGGAAGATTTTAACTTTGACAAGCGTTCATTCATTTCGGATTTCATTGTCAGAATTTCTATGTCGGATCCACATTTGAGGATATTGCTGCAAAATGAGTAAGATTCCTCTAGCTGCTTACTATTTTTCTCTATAGATTCTTCCTGAATCCGCAAAGAATCTTGCTTCGATTTCAGAAATTCTTCTAAATCATTCTCAATTGCCAGTTTCGACTCCTTAATATTTTCAATAATTTCATTGACACACTTTTCTAAGTTTTCTTTGAAGCCTTGCTTTTCGACAAGCACTTTTTCCATAGCAAGTGATACATTTTTCTTCGCAAGTTGAAATCGTTCTAAATTTTCTTTCAATGCACTCATGAGCAAACGTATACTTTGATCAACTTCCTTCCTTGCATCTGAAGGTGCAATAAATTTATGACTTTGATGACTCAGGACAATACAGTCTCGACAAATAGGGACATCACATGTCTCGCAAAAATACCTCAAGTCCTCGCCGGCATGCTCAGAGCAAGGAATTTGCTGTTTTGCTCGAATCTCGTCGTTATATTTTCCTGAATTAATTTCAGTAAGCAAAACAACTTTATGATTTATTGTAAGTGTAGTTGATCGGTGTCGATGGTCTGCACATTCAGAACACAGAACATCTTTGCAGGTTAGACACTGTGAAGTTGCCTCGTTGCTTTCGCCTTTTAGACTACAAAAGGTACATAATTTTGCAGGATCCTGCTTACCAGAATTAATAACTTCTATAAGATTTTTCAAACAAAAATTTGTTTTTAAATCATCTGTGCTATGGTTTTGGAGTTGAAAATTTTCTCTGCACACTGGGCAGGTATGTTTCCTTTTGGTATTTTGCTTTGATATGAAGGTATTAATGCAGGTTTTGCAAAATGAGTGCAAACATGGTAAAACTTTTGGATCCTTGTAAGTCTCAAAACAGATGGGACAAATAAGAAATTCTTCTTTTATTGTTGACAATATAGGATCCATTTTAAACCTACCTGAAATACAAATTTTAAAATAAAAATCAGCTCTTACATTTCTAACATTTATCAAGACACCAGTTATAATAATGAATTATAAAAGGTAAATTTCAGTGGCTTTGAACTTATTAAACCGAATAATTTGCTCTGGAACACATTTCCGGATTAAGAAGAGTTGACTGTAATTGTAATAAAGTTAGATTCGTTTGTGATATCTATTTATTTTTGTAAATTGCTGAATTATTTCTGTACTCTTTTCGTAATGTTTTAAATGTAGCTGAGGAATGAATTAATCAGACAAGTAGAAAGAGATGCAATTTTTTTTTCTTCTAAAGAAATTTTAGATTTTCCTTATATTTGACACATTTGTTCAAATATTAAATTTTAGAGAAGAAATTTCCTATATTTGACACATTTGTTGGAATATTTTTCACAGCAAAGTGTTGGTACAAATAAAATGGTCCACATAGAATTTCTGAAAACGTATGAGATACTATCGTTACTTTGACCTTTGCTGATAATGTTTAAACGCACAACAAGGCAATAAAAACAGATATATGCCTAACTTCCGCGTTTACTTAAATCAATGATACATGTAGAAAATTTATTATTTCCAACAAATAAGAAGTCAATGCATAGAATTTTTGATTCCATTACCTTCTACGAATATTATATTGATGTGATATTTGTCTCTAGTAGCTTTGCTATGGAAAACAAAGAAAAACTTAACCAGCAGTTCATCAACAACCGAACAAATAATATACACGAAATAAAATTCTGTGCATAACATTAAATTCTATGTATAAAACTTACCTATAGGCATATCACCCTTACATGCATCCCTCTTTTTAACAAAAATAAACTACACTTTGCACTCATGTCAATGCGCGCATATGCTGTGTCTGCACAACATTTTACTCGACATCAGTTACTTTTGGTGTTTATTGATTTTTCTTCTATACAAAATATTCAACAAATTCCCTTTAAAAAATCAACGCTAATCTCTCATATTACAAGGAACACCCGAAGTTAAACAATAACTCATTCCTCCTTAATAATTCCTGACCCGGAAGAAGCATTTACATTGACTTCTTCCATTTAAAGCAAATAAAATGCGTATAAGAAACAGTGTACGAAACTTTTGTGTACGTATCACAATCTGTCGCGTGAAATGGTTCAACTTGTTGGGTGCTTCAAATGACTTTAGCCAATTACAAAAATCACAAAAAAATAAATTATGAATATGTGTTGCATATATTGCATGATATCTGACATCATGCAAGCTTATAAATTGATTAGTAGTGTTTGTTTATTGGTTACCAAGCAGGTTCAGGTGCATCAGATAAAAGAAGTTTTATCTCTGAAAAACATCTCTCAAACTGGCAGTTTGTTAAATACGGTTTAACTGTTCTGTCATTCTTTCATGGTGCATTAGGAATTAAACACTTACGTGTGGATATAATCCAGTATTAGCAGGTAGGAAGAAATGCTATTGTCAAGGGGTATTTTTTTCATTTAGTGTTGTTTGTTTCTTGTGTTTTCAACGGCTGTTGGTGCTCTCTGGATGCTAAATCATAATTAAAAGTAAATAAATTACAGTAGCCTCATGAGAACATAAATTGTTCTTCTTTTGATAGCAGCGGGTTACTGAGTATTTTTTGTTTAATGTGAACATTTAACTTATGCAAAAATGTATGGATTTATTTCAATAATAAATACATTATCAAATGTATTAAAGCGGTTCAGAATATAAAAATAAATTGGGGAAATAAAGCTAAAGAAAAACTATTTGCTGTGATATTCTGAAACATATGTAAATAACCTGGTTTTTCTTACATTTTGTGCAAAATCTTATGCGTGAAAAGAAGAAAACACTTGCTTTGACCTTCAACTCGACTTTTAGGTATATCGACGACGTATTCTTAATTAACAATGATGATTTCCATTCTTATATCGATACTAGATATCCTGGTAAGCTTGAGATAAAAGATACCACGTAGTTTGACACATCTGTTTCATATTTGGATATTTTATTTGAAAAAGACGTTAATGGTCATATAACAACCAATCTATATGATAAACGTGATGACTTTAACTTTTCTATTGTCAACTTTCCTTACTTATGCAGCAATATACTGTACCTGCATACAGAGATGATATATCTCAGTTGATTCGATACGCAAGAGCATGCACTACGTGTGAACAATTTTTCAAACGAGGTAAATTTTTGACAAACAAGTTGATGAAACAAGTTTTTCAGCAGACTCGTTTATAGTCATCATTTTGTAAGTTCTATGTCGATACAATGACCTTGTCAGCAAATACAATTTTTCATTGAGTCAAATGCTGACTGACATTTTTCATACTTATTGTTAATCCATTATTTATACACTGAATTGAAGACGGATTTTTTCCCGTTATTTGCCGACCATGATAAGGAGCACACGGCCGGTGTGACCAGTCAGCGGGGGATGCTCACTCCTCAATGACACCTGATCCCACCTCTAATGTTTCCGATGTCCGTGTTTGCTCTGCTTGTTTAATGAACTTTTGATCTAGTATACTGTTCGTTATCTCTATGTGTTTCATTTAATAAAATCATAATTTAATACTTCATGGAGGATTGTAGGTAAATTAGGCTATTTCGTCATGAGAGATTGGCATCTTGTTATGAAAACAGCAATGCCCTGAAAGAAAATTAAGGATTCATCGTACCAAATTCATTTCCGTATCACAATCTTTTTGGTGCCATAACTTGATTCTTTTCTCTTTCAGCTGATATGGATTCGATGACAAAAAGTCTGAAGGAGGATTATTTGACCTGCTCTATTTGCTTTGAACTGTTTACCGAACCGAAGGTTTTGTCATGTCTACACAACTTTTGCGAGGCTTGTTTGGAAGCATTGATCCAGAAATCTTCGGATAAAAACGAATTGATTTGTCCAATATGCCGAGAAACCACGTCTCTGACATCAAAATCTGTTTCGGATTTGAAAACGAACTTCATATTTAAAGATATGATCAATAAATTATCTCCTTCCAACGAATCGCATCCTAAAAGGATTTGTTCCTTCTGTATCCTCCATTCCAAAGAAGTAGAGGCAACTCACAAATGTGTAACATGTATGGATTTGCTGTGTAGTTTCTGTACAAGACACAGACACCTCTTTACTAGGCAGAACGCTTATCATAACGTGGTTCATCTTAGGGACTATTTGGCGGGAAAACATAAAGCGGAGACGAAATACGAGGTACTTTGCGAAAAGCATCACGAGCGAATGCGTTTCTACTGTCAAGAATGTTCTGCTCCGATATGCAGAGAATGTGCTGTTGAGGAACACAGGTCCCATGATTATGTATCGTTTGCTGAAGCGAGGGAGATTGCAAAAGAGAAAATGGAGAAAAACTTGCAAAGTTGTAGAACAAAGAAAAAGAAACTAGAACAAATGCATTCAGCCTTGATATCTAAATCCGAAGAACTGTCGGCTAATGAATCTTCCCTTATGGATATAGTCGATGTTACTTGTAAGGAAGTTGAATCGAAGTTGAAGCAGCACCGTCAAAAAGTCGAAGAAGAAATAAAACAGAAGTCAAGCGAAAGAAAGAAAAACATTGAAATTTATGCTCAAGACTATCTGAACATGCAAGAAAGATTGCAAGAATCAATTTCGTTTTGTGAAAACCTCCTGTCCAGTGGAAGTGATTTAGAAGTTTTGTTCTTTTTAGATGAGATGAGGACATGTTTAATGAAATACCCAGATCCTGAAGAGAAGCGGGTGCACATTTCTCTCCCAGGCCTCAAGGTAAATAAAAAGACAGATTACTTTGTTTTCCATTTAGAAGATGATGTCGTTGAAAGTCAATCCGGTTCAGTTAAAAATGACACAGAAACGACCCCAGTCCTGGATACAAAAAGCACTAGTTTTCAAGAGGCTCAAGACAGGCCATTCAATGGAGCGTGTCTGGAAATTCCCGGTGATGAAACTAAAATATCTACATCAGTTTTAGGAAAATCAAGCTATGAATCAGAATTGAGCCCAAAAACCAAAGACTCCAGGACAGATGGAAAAGCAGAAAAACGTAATAGCGAAACACAGAGAAATAAAACCGTTGTACAACCACAGACAGTTTTTGTTCCCAAGTGTTTAAACACTTATGAGGCTTTGGTTACATATGGTGAAAAGTCCCCAAGTTACACGTGCGTAACATGGATTGACAAAACATCTCTTGCTCTTGCAGATGAAAACAACCAAGCCGTTGTGATTGTTACAACAAAAAGCGAAAGCATGCAAATTCGAACACATTTAGTAAAAGGTATAGCCGCCATTACAATGTTTGGTGGTTTTCTTGCTTGCAAAACGCAATCAGGAGAAATCAAAGTTTTCTCCTACCCGAACTTGATATTAGAAAGAGTTTTTAAAGGAGCGTATGCTTTAACAGCACGTTCATCAGAGTTGATTTGGATAACAAAAGAAAAGATAGTAAAATTCACTGATGCCACAATTAATGAAAAGAAAATAACAGATGAAGACGGAAATCCTTTTCGATTTACAAGACCACTGAATATCTGCTGCCTTTCGAATAAAACTTGTGTTGTCACAGACAAAGTTGTCGATTGTCTGTTTTTTCTGGATAGAAATGGTCAAATATCGAGACGGCTCTTATTTACAGAGAAGCTGGGTGCACTTTCTTGTGACGAAGAAGATCGTCTTTATATGGCATTTTATGAAACAGATAGCATCTGTATCGTCAACGTAAATGGAGAATGTCTGCGGAGAATTTCTCTAAGCTGCATTTTACGAAGACCAAGAGGTATTTCAGTACTAAGCGAGGAGGAAATTCTAGTGTCCAACAAAGAAAATGTCGTTCTTATTTCTTTAAAATCTTAACTTGGAGATCGAAAGAAAATAAGAATATACCAATTTACTTCAAACTTATAATGTAAATATACTTTGTGACATTTGTGCTATTTAGTATGCAGAAAAGATTGGTTTTTCATAACTTGTAGATCTAGACTTAATAAATTAAAGATGGTTTAACGTGGAAATTTATTTAATGTCAATTCTTTCACAGAGGTAAATTAAAAGATGGTTTAATAATTAACTGAGTTCTATGAAAAGAATCGAGAAAAAGGTATTTTATCTCGCTGAAACATTGGAATAAATATATCAGAAATAGGGGGAGACACTAGCCTGTTTGAGAGTGGCTATTGTGTCGATCATAAGATTAAGGAAAAGTGCCCCCCTTTCCCAATTAATTACGGTATGTTTTTAGTTGAATGACAAGATAGTCTTTTAGAATTATGCAACACTTTATTCAATTAAGCTATTGTCACTCCTGTCACAAAATGAGCATTGGTTCTAAGTTATGAGATAAACCGAGGACACATGGAGATAAGAAAATATGCCAATTTCCGATTTCTCTCAATTTCGTGCAAATTTTCATCGATTTTATCACACATTTTGTTTTAGAAAACATAGAGCGCATCCTTGCCTATCTACAAAATTTATATATTTCATACACTAGTAACAGATGCACATGTATTTTATAAAAATCTCAGATAGGCCAACCCTTGCTCATGAAGTGAAAAGTATCTAAAATTTGACTAAATTTCCTTAGAATTGAGGAAATTCTGGAAACTTTCCCAGTTCTGCATCTTCTTGTTGCCTCTGTGTAAGCTTTGAACCAAAATTAATGTTGGTTTTAAAACAAACCTGGTCTGAAATTCTTAACTAAAAAGTATTACAATTCTACTGTGTTCTGAATTTGCATCAAATAAAGAGCCAGATTCGGCCTTTAACATACCTTGTCCTTTATTATTTCCTTGTTAAACTGGATCATTATGATGGACTTCAAAACGACGATACCCTCTGCCATCGTAAGCCACTAATAATATTGCTCATTATTTGCAGTATTTGGTACATAGGATATTTGTTATTTTTCTTTGTAAATCTGCAATATATCTGTCACAAAAAGAAATACATGTACAAGTGAATAATGAATCGATGCAGAAAGTTCAAACTTAGGGTCGGACTTCACTACTAGTAATTTAAGAGAAGGCCGTAACTTCAAATGAATTAGTCCGATGTCAGAAATTCTAGTCTTTTTACTAATGCACATTTTATCTGTTGATTAATCAAAGCCGTAATCGGTTAATTACAAAGATTTTTTGATGACATTTTTCCGAAAGAAAATTAAGATCTCTGTCAAAGAGACGCATGAATATTGAAATGAATGGATGGATCAAATATTTTTTATTCTTCCTTAAATATGAGGACTTTCTTACAGATTTTTACTGAAAAATGCAACGTAATTTCATTGATATTTTTTTTTTGGAAATGCACAGCTACTAACAGATAGGTTCAACAAAAGAAAAAATGTATTTGCAACCAAAATATGCAAACTGTTCAATGATTTTTTGAAAGGGAGACAATTGTATTTTTATTCTTTGGAATATCCAATGGATATTTATAGCCAATACTGATTGGGCGTTGATACTATATCTAGGTCGAAAACACAAGATGCTAATATTTTTGTACGAAAAACTTTACCCTATCCATATCATGGCATATCAATAAAATAAACACAAAACTGCAATTTGAGTTATATCATTTTATTTATAGACACATATGCTAACATTTTAAGCCCATATTTTTTCAGATTCTATAAAGTTTGCGATAAATTAATAAATAACATCTAAATAGGTCGAAAATACAATACGCCAGTATACTCATCGCAGACGCCTGTTTAAAAATATAATAAATATTTACTCTATGGTATAATTAAAACTGTAGTGCCTTGTGTTATTCTTACACTGTGGTTAGTGTTACATAAATGATAATTACAGTTCTCAGTAAAAAAAAAGTACGAATGATCTGTACATCTATATTTGGAAGATTCGGCAGTCTTGATCCCGCACTTCATACTATAGTATCATCGTCGTAAAACAAGGCCAAAATACACATATTACATGTAACATAGGAGATGCTGACTCCAAACAGCGGCTTGAGACGAGGCATAGGAGTCAGAGGTCAAATTCTATCAACCAATCAAATCGTCACCTGCAAAATCATCAAACAGCGGTTCTTTGACCTCTGAGGTACTAATGTTGTTAGATGTTAGTGTATGATTGGAATATATATAGGAATATATAGGAATATATGAATACTTAAAAAGATATTTATTTTAGATATCTTGTTCTGTCCTTAAAAAGTTATTCCCCTTTTTAATTAAATCATAAGCGGTGGGCTTTGACCAGTCGACAAGGGATGCTCACTACTCCATGGCACCTGATTCCATCTCTGATGTTTTGGAGGTCCGTGTTTATTCTACCCGTATTTGTATTGTTTTATGGACTTTTGATGTTGTACACTATTCGTTATATCCATATGTTCCATTTTGGCCAGGGCCTTTGAAACATTTTTTTAATTATTTTTATTTTAGACTGCTTTAATGCAATGTTTATTAATAAATTGAAGCTTAGCTAATCAACATTTTTAAAACTTTCTGATGGAAAATATTTTTTCTAATCTAAAATAATAGTTGGTCCCTACAATGTATATAAGTCGGATACCTTCAGCTCTCTTGTCTACGTCCCTGCTTACAGTGCACAGTTGTGTGTGAAAATGACGTCATAATCAAACATAATGACGTGTGATATTATTCTGCTATGGGATATGGTGACTTCCTGTTTTGAAAAAATGTAAAGAAAGCGTGTTGATCGACATGTTTCTGTTGTGATGCTTATGTTGTGCAAGGTACTGTATAATCTACATTATAATTAACACGCGTTTCTATTACTTTTTTTCCGTAAAGTACTTTGGAATGTCGTTAATATAATATTGTATGTCAAAGGGAGATGATTCAAAAGTGTGTAAGACTAAGAGGCTGTTGTGCAGCTGGAAAAAGGCATATTTATCCTACAAAAAAAGAGATTTTTTTTGTCATTGGACAAACAGGGAGCTCGTTGCCCTACCGTTATAACATACAGAAGCTTACTATAGAAATCGTCGTAATACATATTATAGGATAAATGTATTATAGAATATATTGCTACTATATGCTCGTGCCCCCTAAATTAAAACGCCGAATGTCCTTCTTTTTGTGCTTGTAAAGGGAAATTTTCGGTAGTTGATAGTGCCCCTTCCTACGGGCCTGTTGAAAGCATGTCGGGAGTTATTAGTTATTTCATTAGGGAGCATATTTAAGACCGCGGAACATTAACTGGCAAAATTGGAAATATACAGCTTACGTCATTTCTATTTGTTACAATCAAAACATTCAGTGATAGACAAGAAATATCTGATAATATTCCATCAACGTTTTCTTTGAAATTGCAGATCGAAAATCATTTTCAATCCACCTGAGCTGTTTTAAAAACAAAGAGTGAATGTATGATCCAAAAATCAACTAATTTCAACTCCCAAATACATATTGTTTGAAGTTCACATTAATATGAGTTTTAGCTTATAATTTTAAAAACGCGAAAGATCATAGAAGACAAAGATTATTTTTCAGGAGATATTTGATTCAAGATATAAATTGACGTTTCATGGCTGAACATGACAATATATTTTATTTCTAGGATTATAAGCAGTTTTCATGGTTTTTAACATATTCTCACTGAAAACTGTTGGACAACTTTATTTAAAAATCGTTTAGCCCCCTCCCAATACAAAGATATGCATATATTTACCAAACAGAAATGAAATATTTGTCCCTTAAATATTAATTTATTTAAAACACTGGACAAAAAAATTCAAACTGTACCAAGGTTGAAATTAATTGTCTTCTGGGTCAGTCAGTAATAATGTGCCTTCTAGCGTAGCTGAGGTGGATTGAAAATGAATTTCGATCTGTAATTTCATTGAGTTTTCGAAGTGAAGGTTAACATTACTAGTACTTTTATTGTCTATCAGTGAATGTTTTGTTAACATTGAAATGACGTAAGCTGTATATTTCCCCCCCCCCGCCCCTTCCTAGCTTCTCGCCTGAACACTTTAAAGTAATTCCACCCTCCTATGATGTCATAGGATTTTGCAAAAACTGTAATTAGTTTAAATTCATATCTAATAGAACAGTATCTCTTGGAAGAATGCTTTACAATAGGTGTAATGATAAATATTGTTAAGTTTAAGAATTTAAAAAATGCATATTTTCTATATTTAATCATTTATTCAATCTTTAAAAAACGTTGACAAGGGCAATAACTCCTTCTAAGGTCTCTTCATTCAGGCATTTGCTTTATTGTAAAATAGTTTCCTAGATATTCACAATTCAAAAGTATCTTTTTGTGAACCTTAACCAACAGTCAGCATCAGAATTATGCATTTTAAGAGTTTTTACATATTTTTCATAAAAATGTTTACAAAAAATGTAAATTTTTTATGTTGACAAATCACTTCTGTTTATTTATGTTTCGCATCTTAAATAATACGGTGACCTATACATTTTTTGCAATAATTGGAAAGTTTAAAGTATATTAAATGAAAATAAATGCAGTTTATGTACTTTGAACCCATAAAATTGTGAGGGTGGAATCACCTTAACATAGTTCTAAGTGCCCCTTGATTTTATTTTTTTCTTTTGAAGGTATTCGGGACCGGTTTGCTTCTTGCCCTCCTTTTAAAGTGTGCACACGGTAAGAAAATGCAAAATGTTTATGTTTAAAAGAATTTAAAACAGTTTTATATTCATTATAAGAATGTATAGATTCTATTTTTTAATCATTCCTTGAAATTAATACCATTAAATTCTTATTCTTTGTGGAGGAATTAAATTGATTCAAAAATTGATTCTAGAAAAAATAATGTTTTTTAAAATCATTTTTAAATTAAATAGTTGAAATACAATTCATTTCCTTTAAAAAAAATTAACAGCGCTAAAAGAAGAAGATGAAAAATATCTGGAAGCCATTTTTACCAAAGTTCTGGGGGATCTGTCTTCACCCCAAAACAGGGACTACTTCCGTAATTACTGCGCACGAAAAGTAAACCCTCTTTGTCCCAGGAAGTGGTTTTTCTCTAAGAAGACCAAGCGGAACTTTTTTAAGCCTGGAGAAACACAACTTAAAAAGGTATCAATAGAGCACCAAATATTTGGAAAAGGAAAGGGATTAAAATTCGGTTGTAAATAGTATAACTTAAAGGTTTGATAGTGGTTATTTCAAAACCTGTACTATACTAAAATTGTCATTAGAATTTTTTTGAGAATGAGAACTAATTATTTTTTTAACAGGAGAGATTCTATCAAACCTATTACTGCTATAAATTCAAGCAAGTCAAACTGTGTCCAGGTGAGATTTTAACATTATTTAAAGGTACATGTATGTAGGATACTTTAGATGGCCTTATGGGAGAAAAATCAGTGATTAATTAAAAACAGAAATATTCGAATATTTGTTGGAGAGTTTTCCATCATCAAATAGAAAATTATTAATTGAGGAAACGCTGTTAAATATATATTTTCCTCATTTTTAAAGTAAAGATTGTAAAGATTTCAATATTTGGTGTAGAGTTTTTCATCACTTAAAAATTATTGTTTTTAATTGAGAAAAATCTGTAATAATATATATAATTAAGTCATTGTTTAATTTAAAAAACCGTAATGATTTTAGTGGATGGCAGTTGGGGTGCTTGGACAAAGTGGTCCAAATGTGGGAGTAAATGTGGTTTGGAGGGAAGTCAAAACAGAACCCGGTCATGTAACAACCCTGCCCCCCTGAGGTTTGGTAACCACTGCAATGGTACAAAAGTCGATAGTCGGACTTGCAAAAGACACTGCAAAAAAGAAGGTATACAACAATTTGACCGTTTTTTTTCTCTCTCTGGAAGGTCTTTATCTGATTGAAAATTTGGGACGTAAAACAAGATAAAACTAATTAATCTTGTCTTTATTTAAGCGGGTCAGAGTGGTTTTTTTCCCCTCTCTTTTTATAGTCACAAGCAGAAAAGAAGCACGGACTTATCTGAACATGATGAATCACGCCTTTCCTAAACTGAAGCATGAATGCAGATCAGGGCATTGCACATACGACGATCTATCTCACTATCTTTCTGGCAAAGAAAAGGTTTGTCCTCTCCAGTTATCTGAACTTGGTTGGTTTTGGGTGTAAATTCATAAATCTCCTATTAATATGGTCTCTAATTTTTACTGGTCAAAATTTAAATTTACACAAATTTAATGTAAAATGTGAAATTGGATAACTTCTGTTAAACTTGATACGACGACACTACCATATGCCCATATGCTTCGAAACTGAGGGGGGAGGGGGTAGCTTAGCGTTCCTCCTCTCTTTTCTTTTCTTCTTTATTATTATTTTTGCACAAATATAGATATGATATAGATATTGGAAGTGAGGCTTATTCCTCTCACATTTTTTTGCTGGTTTAGCCCCCCCCCTTAAATTACTCCCCGTCGCCCGCGTGGCCCAGTGGATAGAGCGTCTGCTCTAGAGTCGCGAAGTAAGGAATTGATCCTTACGTTGCGGGTTCGAATCCCACTGTGGGAAGTGGAGACCGGTCCTTCGGATGAGACCGTATAAACCGAGGTCCGGTGTCGCAGTAGATTCTGGCACGAAAAAGATCCCTCCCTGCTAAATGGCCCTAAGAGTCGAGTATAGGATAAAATTTTCAGCTCTCCACCACCAATTGGTGGCGTCTCCATATGAGTGAAAAATTCTCGAGTGGGATGTTAAACAACATATAAACAAACAAACAAACAAACAAACAATAATTACACACCCCACTTTTAATTTGCTTTCGACGCTTATAAATGGCAATCACACAGCATAGATATAGTACAACTTTTTGATGTTAAACAACATATAAACAAACAAACAAACAAACAAACAAACAAACAATAATTACACACCCCACTTTTAATTTGCTTTCGACGCTTATAAATGGCAATCACACAGCATAGATATAGTACAACTTTTTATTTGTCAAATAAGACTTTGATGATTAGGACTTCTTTTAAGGAAGTTCTAAACACTAGCAAAACATGCTTTTTGGATTTGGAGAAAAATTTGTCATAAAAGGTGTGTATATTGAGACTATTTAATTCAATTTCAGCATAAGGTACCTGCCTTAATTCTGCGTGAAAAATGTTCAAAGACAATTGACTATGTGGGAACTGAAACACTGCTATTTACCTTTATTGGGAAAATCCATTGAAATAATGGATTCAATTACTTATTCTTGGTCTAATATAATTTTAAGAATACTTGTCTCTTACAAATTGTGTAATTAATTGTAAATAAATATTTTTTCTATCTCACTTCTAAGGGCCGATTACTCAAACAGCATAAAAATGGCCTTCATTCAGAACTCTTTAGTGTGCAGTGTTTAGAGCTTCCTTAAGGATGACGTTTACTCAGGTTTCAGATAACAGAATGGAAATTTTATAAAGTATAATATGTTAAATCAAAAATTGTTCTAAATGGATAAAATAAGCAAGTTTTAAATCGAAATCAATTTAAAAATTTAATATTTCATTAATTAAAGAAAATATACAGGTACAAAAGTCAATGTATGGTAATGCAGAGGAAATTCGGACTAAATTTTTAATTTTTAATTTTTGTCAAAAATTTTGATTTCTTTCAATAATAATCACGAAGTAAAGGTTAATTGTATTTTTAAACATCATTTTGCTAATATTATATGTATTAAAGCTGATAAATTATTTCAAATAATTGAATGCTACGAAATAAAGAAATTCAAAAATATGTACAAAAACCATTCCAGACAATATATCTCAATTATTTGATCATTGACCCCATATAATATTAATACCATCAGAATTAGGGCATCAAAAGTAATCTGAGGCTATAGATAGTTTAGAGTTCTTATCAGTCAGATTTTTGTAATATTCGATTTAAAATGGGGAAAAAAATGTAAATGTGACAGAGGAAATTCGGACTGTCATAATTATCACATTTCTTTCCCAAATTCCAATCATTTATTTATATGAAGCAACGCTGTTCCATTGCTATAATATTTCATTATTTAAAGAGTTAAGTTGCTTGTAATATTTTGTGTGTATGGAAAAAATTGGTTATAGTGTGAAAAATTGAGGTATTTCCCGAGAAATACTAGGCCACTAGCATGAAAAGTAGGTCATTGACCTAGTTATTTGAAATTGAAATTTAACACAAGAATCATTGGTGTACAATGTGCAATAGGTGGTTTTTCGTTCTTATCAGTGGAAATTTTGGTCATCTGAGTAAAGGTATACCTTAAGATAAAAAAAAATTAAAGTTCAAAAACTATTTATGATAAAGTTTTATAATCTTCATTTTTTATCAACCAGGAGAAGTACTGGGCCAGCATGCATTGTATCTATTTTGATCGCGAGTGTCCGGTGGACGGAGGGTGGTCCCACTGGACGGAGTGGACATCATGTCAGCCGGTGTGTGGGTGGGGCTATCGTCATAGGGAGAGATCGTGTAACAAACCCGCCCCTAAAAATGGCGGATACCAGTGTTTAGGATCCGCCTACCAAAACCACCAGTGTTTTGGTACAGATTGTACCAAAGCAGGTAATAATCTTTAAGGAAGAGATTAAATGTGTTTGCAATCGCAATCTGAAAATGCGTAACATTGGTCTTTGGTAAAAATGTTTGGCAGTGAATCTTTTGATCATACATTGTATTTTAAATGGCCTAGGCACCAGGCATTGCCAATAATAAACCTTAATAATTATTTATTTCAAAAGTGATTAAAGTTTTAATTTCAATTAAGGAAAATAAATTAATAATAATTATATATAATTACATGTAAACAGTAATTATTTTCGTTGTCGTATTCATCTTTTTTTTTAGACTTAATCTATGGACACCACTTATCCGATTGGTCTGAATTTACTCCATGTTCCGTCTCCTGTGGAAAATACGGAATTCAAGTAAAGAAGCGAATATGTCTGAAGCCATACCACTGTACCCATCAGTTAGGGAAGAATGTCAACAAAATAAAAATCATCAAACCATGTTACCAAGGCGAATGTCCGGGTAGAGTAAAAGATCATAATAAATCTTGTGGAATAATTTTTTTATATAATCTTTTTCTGTTTACAGAGGGAGCAAGATAATTTTTTAAGATCAATTTATTTTTCAGTTAAAGGAGGCTGGTCCTCTTGGCAGAAGGTGAATTTTTGTTCCGCCCGCTGTGGCACTGGCAGGAAATTGAAAATTCGTCTGTGTAATTTACCATTCCCAACCGGAAGTGCTTCCTGCATTGGCAATGAGGTGGAGACCAGTATATGTAAAGGCCCTTGTGATGACAATTGTAAGATTTCTATCTGTTCAGAATGACGATGTCAATCACAACTTAAAAACGGAAAAACAAACAAGTGGATGAAAATGAAAAAAAAGATTATATCGTGAAAGTTCATACGACGAAAAATATCATCTACAGATACTGACTGGGTCTTTCATTCTACCCTCTCCAAATTTTTACAAGAATTATCTTTTGATGATTTCATACAGCCTGGAAATTTTCATTGAAACCAACCCCCCCCCCCCTTCCCCGATTTTCTTGTCAAGAAACGGTCGATTCCTCATTTTCAATAATTTTTTTTTCCTCTTCTGTAGGGAACAATGATGTTAAAGACTTCAAGAGAACCGGATCAGATATGAAAATAGGTCCAAAATCAGAGGTAAAATTAAAATATATTTTCTCCACATTTTGTGTTTCTTCAAGCTGCGTACCACTGGGTATTTATGTTTTGGTGGTAACCACTTATTTAGAAAGGTTACCACTTATTTATTATTTTAAAAAATTCGGACGCAACTAACAAACCGCACCGCTTGTAATTTTTAGGATACGCCTGCCACAGGAGACCGGTTCAGTATTCCACTTATAAAGAGTAGGGAGACGAATTACACCCAGTGGAGTGAGTGGACGCCCTGTACCAAGTCCTGTGAAGGGGGGTTCAGATGGAGGGAGAGGGCGTGTAAATTAACGGGAAAATGCTCGGGAGAAATATTTCAGAGACAAATGTGTAACACAGCCAAATGCCCAGGTATTCTTCTTATCTTTATCTATTACTAGCATTGCCGATTTACAATTTTTGGTATTTTATTCAAATTATAAAAACATTTTTTTTTACCTTGAGCAATTGCTTTCTCAAAAGAAAACAATTTCACTTCAAATACACGGTAACTTTTTTTAGAATAGAAAAATAATTAATGTACTTAATATCTTTATACATGTTTACACTTTAAAAATTACCTTTTATCAAAATTAAATGCAAATAATTTAAGGTCTGTTACTTGTTTTTCTTAAGTACAGGGTGGTTGGACTGATTGGATGGGATGGTCCGTCTGCTCTGTGACGTGCGGTCCGGGTGTGCAGACGAGATACCGGAAATGTGATAATCCTTACCCGCAGGCCGGCGGAACTTGCGCAGAGTTTTCCTCGGAGAAGAGGAAATGTGACACGAAACCATGTAAAAGTATTGTATCATATTCAAATTTACATTAATTTTTTTTACTGCTTCTTCAAATTTAAAATCAAATGGTATTTTTATGGTATAGTTTTCTTTACATATAACTCACTTTTTTTCTTTTTCCAAAGAAACACATTTTCGATACGGTGAGTGGAGCTCCTGGAGCAATTGTTCTCATCCCTGTGGACAGAAAGGGACACGCGTCAGGACCAGGGGATGCGTTATCCTCCCCAAAGGAGAAGTAAGCTCAGTACATACACAGCGCCTTATTAAAGAGACTAAAACACCAACCAAACAGCGCTCAAACGTGCCCCAAAGTCTTCCTGCGGACAAAAAGCAATCTTCTGGCGGTCTGACTGATAAAAAGAATCATTCTCCTGTAAAGCATGGAAAACGAAAAGAGACATTACCATATGAGGATTATTTACAAACTAGGTATAATGCAAAACAATTAGCAGAAAGACAAAAGAAAACAACTAAAATTGTGAAACAGATTTCACCAGGGCGAAATAAACGTTCTCGCAGACGATCAGCTTACTTGCTAAGACCAAAGAACTCGAATCTTCCAGCAGATGCGAAAGTGCTACGGAAGTGTTCAGCTCATGGCACGAAGATGGTCAGCAGATGCAATGTCAGAAATTGTCCAGGTACTAGTATATCTACTTTAAAACTTTAATCTGAAATGCAAAATTATTTTTAAAGCCAACACAGTTTGATTTAGAAATCTAAAATACCGGTATTTGTAGTACAAGGTTCAAGGCCATAGTTTGGAGGATGTTGGTGAGTCTGTGGAGACGGTGTGTGTGTTTGGGGGGGGGGGGTCATTACCTAAAAAGAAATTCTTGACAAGTCAAAAAAGGGGGTCAGCAGTTTTTCTAAGGGACACGTATTCTAGTAAATCTCCCCCACAGACCCGTCGTCAGAGAGGACCTTAAATGGTTTTCAATCAACCGTGACGATGACGCTGATGCGTAACAGAGCCACGTCAATATCGTGTCTTTCATCTTGCCACCTGTTTAATCTTACTTCCACAAAACTACTAATAGAATAGGCTATCATAATCATTACATTTACCATAAAAGTAAAAAAAACCAATCGTACGATCCGGATTTTTTAGCTGGTTAACTTTACGTTGGTGTTCCTCGCACTGGCGCATGCGCGCACCGTTTGCCTGATTTTTTTTCGGCGTGTTTATCCCCGACCCAATGTAGCTTTGGTTTGTCAAGACCTTCATGCGAACAATCACATTTACCGACTCGACCCGTCTCCGTAAATTCCATTTTTTTCCTCATTGAATATCTGTGGGACAGAGTGGAAGATAGGGTTCGAAATGCCCAAGGTGTTCTCTTTCAAATAAAGTCTGCCTTTTTGAAAGGGCTTCGAATAAGATTCTTATTTGAAGGATAAACACAGTGATGAATCCAGTGCAAACGAGAATGAAAGCTGTGACAGATGCGCGAAGGAGACATTGAAGATAATGAGAATTTTTAATTTTGACATTTGGGGGTATCGTCATATAAGTTTCAATAACTCAATTTACTCATTAATTCTGAGACAAAATCAAATAGGATTTTGGTTTCATTTTCATGAAAGATGATTTTAAACGTTCGACAGGAAAACTAGACAATGCAGAAGGAAAAAGAAAATTTCATCTAAAAATTTTACGCTGCGTTTCTTTTTCCTTTCAGTATATTTATACATAGCGCTGTAGAATGATGGAAATAAAAGTATTCAATACATTTGAAATCGGTGACTCTTTTTTAGCTCACCTGAGCTGAAAGCTCAAGTGAGCTTTTCTGATCATCTGTTGTCCGTCGTCCGTCCGTCCGTCCGTCTGTCTAGTTGTCTGTCCGACCGTCCGTCTGTAAACTTTTCACATTTTCAACGTCTTCTCAAGAACCACTGCGCCAATTTTAACTAAACTTAGTACAAAGCATCCTTAGGTGAAGGGAAATCTAAATTGTAAAAATAAGTGGCCAAGTCCCCTTCCAAGGGGAAATAATCAAGAAAATACAAAAATAGGGTGGGGTCATTAAAAAATCTTTTTTGCAAGAACCACTGAACCAGAAAAGCTGAAACTTATTTGAAAGCATCCTGAGGTAGTGTAGATTATAAATTGTAAAAATCACGACCCCCGGGGGTAGGGCGGGGCCACAATAGGGAATCCCAAGTTTTACATGGAAATATATAGGAAAAAACTTTAAAAATCTTCTTCTCAAGAACCACTGGGCCAGAAAAGCTGAAACTTATATGAAAGCATCTTTGGGTAGTGTAGATTATAAATTGTAAAAATCACGACCCCCGGGGGTAGGGCGGGACCACAATAGGGAATCCCAAGTTTTACATGGAAATATATAGGAAAAAACTTTAAAAATCTTCTTCTCAAGAACCACTGGGCCAGAAAAGCTGAAACTTATTTGAAAGCATCTTTGGGTAGTGTAGATTCAAAATTTTAAAAATCATGAACCCGGGGGTAGGGCGGGACCACAATAGGGAATCCAAGTTGTACGTAGAAATATATAGGAAAAAACTTTAAAAATCTTCTTCTCAAGAAGCACTGGGCCAGAAAAGCTGAAACTTATATAGAAGCATCCTTATTTTGTGTAGATTCTAAATTTCAAAAATTATGACCCCCAGGGGTAGGGCAGGGCCACAATAGGGAATCCAAGTTGTACATTGAAGTATATGGGAAAACAACATTTAAAATCTTCTTCTCAAGAACCACTGGACTAAAAATGCTGAAACTTGTTTGGAAGCATCCTTGGGTAGTGTAGATTCTAAATTATTATAATCATGACCCCCGGGGGTAGGGCGGGGTCACAATAGGGAATCCAAGCTGTACATTGAAATATATGGGAAACAACTTTAAAAATCTTCTTTTTAGGAACAACTGGACTAAAAATACTGAAACCTATGTGGAAGCATCCTTGGGTAGTGTAGATTCTAAATTGTTAGTATTATGACCCTTTAGGATTGTGAAGGTCAAGATAAGTATTACAAAGGGAGAAATCTGTTAAATGACAGAATGGCCAAAGTTACTTAGGTGAGCGATGCGGCCCATGGACCTCTTGTTTCAGTTGATGGAAAGTGGGCAAACTGGGGTAGTTGGACAAAGTGCAGTCAGACCTGCGGACAGGGCATCCATCTTCGTGAGAGAACATGTACTGACCCATTTCCTAACGGCGGCAAAATTTGTGACGGATCTGGTACAGAAATTGCCCACTGCTTTCGAGAGCCATGTTCAGGTAAAGTTTGTTATTCTAGAGTTAAAAGAAACATTTGCTTGCTTTTTTTCGAAATTTTTGGTTAGGATTTTTTTGATAGAGATGATTGGTTTAATATAACCCTTTTCCTGAGAGCAGTGTTTTGGTTTATTAGTTCCACTGCAGCGGCATATGTTTGGCATGAACAGTTGGAAAGGCAAACACTTCGTCTTTATACTCGTCAATGATAACGAGTACAAATGATGTGGTGTTGGCGGGATGTGGGGGGGGGGTCATTGAATTTTAAAACTTCGTACCTATGAATGTTTATACAAATATCTCATAGATCTGTGTTTTCGAAGAATGGGGAGGGGGGGTGTGTGTGGGGGGGGGGGGGGGGGGGGGGGGCAAGGTCACTTTTACTTAGTTTAGTATGTACATTTAATAACTCTTCAAATTCCGTACCCCTCGACCCCTTAGATCCATGTATGTCACTTTTATAGTGATTCTCTACGATATTATAATTTTTCGTGTAAAGAAATCAGCAAATGTGTTTTTGATGACAACTCCGCTCTCAGTACTGTTATCAGAGTAAATTCTGTTATCTTTCCTGTTGCATATCTGCATCACTCTCAAAATTTCTAATTGTCAATTAAACACAATTTCTACCCAATCTGGTCATTTGACGAAAAAAAATCTGCAATATGGCTCTTGTAATCTTTCGACATAATTACTGGCTTGTAAATTTTGATGCATATCAAAGAGAACACTCAAACATGAAAATGGGAATAGGAATCTTCTATTCAGTCTCTTCGTCAAATCTTTTTAAAAAGATTTTGCATTGAAGTCCAGTGTTATAAAGTGCAGTTAAATTCATATATAGCTAAGCAGTTTTAATTTTCTTGCAAATTCAAAAACATACACTCATAAGGTAACAGTAAGTGTTTATATTTGTTGTGAATGTTTTGTTCGTATAAAAAAAAACTACTAATAGTTGTTCGATGAAAAATCATCAGAACGTAGCTTGGTCAAAAAGTCCTTTGACACAATTATGCGCAAATTGTTAATGTTGATTCATATCATACAGAACAAATTATTAAGAAATTTGAAAAATCTCCTTTGGTCTGTTTTTGACAGTTTTTCTAGAACATCAAATAAATGGAGTGTTGACTTCTCAACCATTTTTTGAATTCAAGTGGACCTAATTTATTTGGATTGACATTGCATTGTTGTCTAGTGCAATAAAATGCAGTGAAATTCTAATTAGGATATAAAGCTATAATAATTCTCATGCAAAAAAAAAAAAAAAAAACACTCATCAATCAAAGAGGAGCATTTATTTCTTCTGGATGTTTCGTGCATAGAAACTACTGGTTCGATAAAAAATTATCAATACGTAAACTTGTCGCAAAGTCATTTAATGCAATTATAACTGATTGTTAATTTTGAACAAATATTAAAGAAAAGGCTAATTGAAATTAATTTCATCCTTTTTTCACTAAACATTTTTTCAGAACACAAAACTAAAAAAACCCTGGATTTTCAACCATATTTTTGATTAAATTCTGGAAAAAAAATGGACTAAATTTACTTTGATTGGACAATTTTCCAAGTAATACAATGCGCATGCATGGCAATGTATTCCATCAGAGTGCAGCATGGTTCCATTTCACTTATTAATGTTTAAGAAACATTCTCCCACCATCTACCCTTCAAGACATCCTATTTATACAATTTTTCTTGTGCGATTGAATGTAAGTTTTGAAATTTGCATAATTCAAGTTTGTTACAAAGTTCCATAACTCAAATTATGGCCCTTTGAACAACGTAGACAAAACGATATTTGCTCTCTGCTATATTTTATGCAAATGTTTAGGCAAACTAATGGATAACAAGCTTGTATACTATATATGACTTTAGAGAGGCAGTTTGAGGTAATAACGGTGATGATGGGTGAAAAATTAGATTTTAGTGTGAGTTGCTCTCACTAAACAAGTACTACTTAACAGGACTGAAAAGCGCCTTTCATTGTTAATTCTACAAAGGAAATCGGCGCATTTTTTGATTGAGTCTGAATCTCACAATGTTTGCTCATCAGTCATTCAAGAAAGTTCATTAGCATATTATGTAGATTGCTAATTTTGATTAATTAGGGTTATGCAAAACACAAAGAGGAAACGTTGTACTGAGTGAACTTCTTTCAATTGCAAGCTAGTTGATTCTGCTTTTAAATAAAGATATAACGGCACTGCACTGCATTGCATTGTAATATGATTGACGTACATGTACTGTGAGTCTATTTAAAACAAAAACTTGGTCAATATTTGTACTAATACGATTTATGACAAAATTAATATGTTGAACATGAACTTTTTTCAATTTAGTCTTCTTCCTAAGAACTCTGTTGTTACAGTACTTGATTAAAAATTCAAATGAACTTTCCAGAAAGTCTGATGAGTGAATATGTTGAGACTCAATCAAACAAAGCGTCAATTTCCTTTGTAGAATTAACAATGAAAGGCGCTTTTCAGTCCTGCTTAACAGAACTTGTTAAGAGAAAGAAACTCACACAAAAATCAAACTTTTCACTCATCATCACCGTTATTTACTCAGACTGCCTCTCTAAAGTCTTATATAGTATACAAGCTTGTTATCCATTAGCTTTGCCTAAACATTTGCATAATATAAAGCAGAGAGCAAAGATCGTTTTGTCTACGTTGTTCAAAGGGCCATAATTTGAGTTATCGAACTTTGTAACAAACTAGAATTATGCAAATTTCAAAACATACATTGAATCGCACAAGAAAAATTGTATAAATAGGATGTCTGGAAGGGTGGATGGTGGGGGAATGTTTCTTCTACACTGAGAAGTGAAAGGAAACCATGCTGCACTCTGATGCATTACAATGCAACGCATGCACATTGTAGTGCATGACAAATTGCCCAATCAAAATGAACTTAGTTAATTTTTGCCAGAACTGAATAAAAAATGTGGTTGAAAATCCACATTTTTTTTATTTTGTCTTCTGAAAGAAAAGTTAGAATTTCACTGCATTTTATTGCATTAGACAACAATACAATGTCAATCCTACCTAGGGCTAATTGTAACGGGTACCGTTACAGATGTTCCCCAAACGCTCCCCAACTCCCTTTTAGTGCCATATTCCCTGTAATATACTATATTAGAAAGCATTCAGTCCAAAAGTATTAAAAATAACTCATTCAAGTGTATTTCTAATTTCATTCGTTCCAAATGCACGCACGTGCGTGCACGTGCATGATGACCATACCTTCTTGTAGGAGTCCCTTATATTTATCTATGTTCTGAATCCCATCCTGTTTGGTTGAAAAACAAGGGAGTTATAGCCATTTCAAGTTTCAGCCAATCAGATTGCAGCACACGTGCATGCGCGTGATTTCATGATTTTTTTTCTATATCGCATTGTAGGATATCCTAATGAATGATTATGTTTTAAATTTCAAAGCATTTCGTCAAAAAACAAAGGAGATATAGTCATTTAAAGTTTCAGCCAATCAGATCGCAGCACACGTGCATGCGCGTAATTTCTTGAAATTTTTTGTATATAATATTGCAGGACATCCTAATGTATGACTATATTTTTAATTTCAAAGCATTTCGTCAAAAAACAAAGGCGATAAAGTAATTTAAAGTATCAGCCAATCAGATTGCAGCACACGTGCATGCGCGTGATATCATGAAATTTTTTCTATATCATATTGTAGGATATCCTAATTCATGATTATGTTTTAAATTTCAAAGCATTTCGTCAAAAAACAGAGAAGATACTGAGATTTTTGTTTTAGCCAATCAGAGCGAAGCGCACGTGCATGCGCGTGAGTTCGTGCTAATTTGACAGTGTCACATTATGTACACTATTAATATATCTTTATATAATGAGTTTCAAATCATTTCATTAAAAAATGTAAAAGTTATAGCTATATTAAGTATATAAGTCATTTCACGTGTTGCACGCGCACGCACGTGCATGCGTATGCGCGCAAAATGACCTTCGTTCCGCACACCTACACTACACACCCATTAACCCTAAAAAGGTTTTAGGTCAGTTGGGTGAACAGTTTCTGAGAACACTTCCGGACAAAAAAGTACCGGAGAACAAATAAGAAAAAAAAGAATAATAATAATAATAACTAGTGCTAATTGTAACGGGGACCGTTACAGATGTTCCCCAAACGCTCCCCAACTCCCTTTTGGTGCAATATTCCCTATAAGCTTCATTAAATAAGACAAACTCTATGCATTTGAGACTTTAACAACGTTTACCCAGAAGTGTACCAATTTCATTCAAATTTTAGCATTGCACGCTTGCGCATGTGAATGCACGTGCGTAATGACCATATAATCTTGTCTTCACAATCTATAGATTTTAATATACTAAATATCAAAGTATTTAATCCAAAAATATTTAAAAATACGCTAATTCAAGTGTATTTTTTATATTTTTCATTTCACGTGCACGCACGTGCTCACATGAGCATGGCGACCATACTTTCTTATAGAAGTCCATTACATCTATCTATGTTCTAAATCCCACCCCGTTTGGTTGAAAACCAAGGGAGTTATAGCTGTTCAAAGTTTCAGCCAATCAGATTGCAGCGCACGTACATGCACGTGTATGCATGTGCATGGTGACCATGTCTGCTTGTAGAAGTCCATTATATCTATCCATGTTCCAAATCCCATCCTGTTTGGTTGAAAACCAAGGGAGTTATAGCTATTTAAAGCATAAGCCAATTAGATTGCAGCGCACGTGCATGCACACATTTTCATGATAATTGCTATATATCTTATTGTAGGATATCCTAATACATGCCTATATTTAAAATTTCAAAGGATTTTGTCAAAAAACAAGAAAGATATTGAGACTTTCGTTTCAGCCAATCAGAGCGAAGCGCACGTGCATACGCGTGAGATCTTGCTTTTTTGACCATGTCATCTTGTCTATGCTTCTAATATATACTTCTAATATGAGTTTTAAAGCATATCATCGATAATTTAAATA